ATCTTATATAACAACTTATAAATTCGATTTAATTTTTTTTAAAAAAACACAAAATCTAATTTATAAAAATTAATTAACAAAAATTAAACAACTATATTAAAATATTAATATTTTAAAAATTTATTAAAAAATGCAAAAACCTCTTATTAAAACTTATTTATTATTTTATATATTATTTATATTTTAAAAATATTTAAAAAAAGATGTAACAACTTATTAAAAAAAATAAGTTGTTAATTCTTCAAGTAGTAAATTAGATGTTCAAAATCTATTAACAGTAAAAATTTATATAATCACTTATATAATACTCATATTATGACAACAGTTTTTAATAATTAGATTAAGATACTTGTAATAATAATTATATCAGCATAACTGACAGGTTATAAAACATTTGTATAACTAGTTATACAAAAAAATACAAACTGGTATTAGGCTGTGCAAACTCTAGATAAGTTCTTATAATTGTATAAATTTGTTAAAATTAAAATACAAGAAGTCTATTTGAAAAAAACTAAGCAAAAAAATAGCAAAGATCTTTGATAATATTACTATAAAGACTAGTTTTAAAAAACAAATACTAATATAAAGAAGCTAAATAAGCAAAAATTTCCAAATAAAGTGTATTTTTAACCAAACTGCCAGAATAAATTAGAAAAAAAAGATATTAGATCAATCTAATATATTAATAAACTAGTTATAGTTTTATTAGCCTATTTGAATTAGAAGTCTAATAACAATGCAAAATATACTAAAGTAATTCAGATATACTATAAAGTAATACTGAAGTTTAAGTAAACTTTGTAAAGACATAACAGTTTAATAGCTAACTTTGATAGAAGTGTTAGTTCTGCTATAGTAATATTAAATTAGCTATAAAAATAAATACAAAAGACTTTAGAAAGTTTATCTTAAAGATAAAATAGTTTTAAGATTGAGATAATGCTCTAAGTATAACCTAATAATTTTAATACAAGTTGCAAGTTCAGAGAGTTTAAAATAGAATATTTAAGCAGAAGTATTAAATATAATAATTAGTAGAAAATATTCAAGCAAATTTCTTAAATAGATAATATAAAAAAGTTATATATATAGCCAATTATATAAATTTTCTGTAATGTTTTATAAAATTACATTATTAAAAAAGTTATTAATAAAAGTCAAATAACTAAAAAGTTCATCTTAATATCAAAAAAAACAACTTAAAAATTACTTTTAAACTAGTATTTTATTATTTTTATTTATATAAAATATTATTAATAAAATTTATAATATTTTAACTAAAACAATAATTAACACTAATTTTTTTTAATATTAATATTTATAACAGAACTAAAAAACTTAATTATATTTATTAAAAAAAAAAATTTATATTATTTATTTTTTTTATATTAAAATTTCTGTTTTTAAAATATAATTTTTATTTAAATTATTATAAACACAAAGCCTTTAAAGACTTTTTATATAAAAGATTACAACTAGCTACCTATACACTTTTAATATTTAATTTAAATAGTCTGTTTATATATTACTATAAAGATTTTATATTAAATGCCATATTTGCAAATTAACTAAAAGTCTTATCTATTTAAACTCTTTATATATACAATCTAATTTGTATTTTAAAAACATTTTCAAAGTACAGCCTATTTAAGTTTTTAATCTTTATTAGTATACTTCCTTGACATAAGTTACCAAATGTTTTTAATAACAATATGATGATTATTTTTTTGTAGGTTTTTAATTTGTAAATTTTCAACAAACTATATATTAATTTAAGTTATAATTTTTTATTTAGCAACTATATATATAAATTTTATTTATATAATTTAATACTATGTAGAGTATTTATTAGCAACAGTTACAGTGAGAATACATTAATGCATACTTTCAATAATATTTTTTAAAATTGAATTATTAATTTTAAACTACTCTTTCTAGAGCAAATTAAAGAGTTTTGACTCATTATTTGGTAAAAAAATATGCTTATATATATGATGTTCTAATTTATCTCACAAATGTTCAATAGGATTAAGGTCAAGATATATAAAAGTCATAAAAGTTGTGCAATATGATTTTGTTAAATTATTTCTTAGTAAATCTGAAAATGTAAATTTTAGCATTGTTATCTTGAAACATATAATTTTTTTTAACTATATTTATTAAATTGTTTAAATAAGATACATAACAAGTTTTAAAATTTTCTACATAGTTTTAAATTTATTTTGCTATAAATCTGAACTAAAGGTTCAAGACTATGTATACTATTCTGTAAAAAAAAGATAACACTTTTTTTCTATTATTTTTTTGTATTTGAATTTTATAGTTTTTCTATTTAAATTATCTTATTATTTTTTATAAATATAGCAAATTTACAAAATATTTATAGAATTATACTATATATTAATAGAAATTATACAAAAGCTTCACTAAAACTTATAATAATGACAAAACTTTTATAGAAATTTTATAAAAACTTTATTAAAATCTTACAAGTTAAATATATTATATATATGAATACAATATGAAACTTTATTAAATAGCTTTATATACTAATATATAATATTAATGCACATGCAATAATTGTTTAAACTTATTATAGTACTATCATATAAATATAATAAAACAACAATAGAACTCTTGCAGAACATATTTTTATATTACTTTTTTTAATTTTGATTAGTTTTTGTTTTTTTGCTAACTTTTATTTTTATTTTTTTTGTTTTCTGTTTTTCTCTTTTCTTTTTATTTATATATATAAATAAATCTATAAAAAGAATAATACAATTAAGATTTGTTTCACTAGTAATCTTATTAGTATTATTTAAAGTTTTTAAATCTTGTATATTGTTCTCAACTATGTTGTCTTCTTTGGAATTATCTTATATTTTTGAGCAGAAAACTGAAGGCTTTTTTTTATTAGTAATACAATAGAATTTAAAGTTTTTTAACTAACATTGTTTTTTTTAATAGAATAAAAAGGCCAAAAATTTTTTAATAGTAATAATATATTAGTTGTAAGAGCTAAAATATCAGAATTGTCTATATTATCTGATTAGTAATTTTGATATTACCATTTGTTGGTTTAAGGATTGATGTATCAGAATCCTGTGTATAGTCAGTTGTGTTATTTGCATTATTTAATCAGAGATACTTTTTATATTAATATAGTTTCTATATTTCTGAACAGAAGGTTAAGCATTATTTTTTAATAATAACAATGCACAATCTTTTGTCTTTGTATTAACATTAATAATTTTTTTTTTGTTTGGTTGATTAACTTTTTTTAGTATACTAATTTCAAAAATAGAATTATTGAAATTTTATGCATAGTTATTTATTTTATTCAGTTCATCTATATTATTTTGATTTTAGATACTTTCTATATCAATATGACTTGTATTATGTCTTTGTATAGAAGGTTGAATATTCTTTTTTGGCAGTAGTATGCATACCCCTTTGCTCTTACATCAGCATTTTTTTTTTCTTGATCAACTGTTATAGGTATATGAAATTTTAGAATGTAAATAATAAGAGCTATGAAAATTACTTATATATGCTATTACAATAAGAGATAAGCCAGTTATAAAAAATAAATTAGCTTCAGAAACTGGAAATATTAAATTGGCTTTATTAAACTATATAAAATAATAGGTAATAATTTTTTTTTAAAAAAAAATTAATAAATTCTAAATTCTTACTTCTTTAATAACTTTATTGACTTTTTTCTTTAATTGCCAGAATAGAGGCTTACTATATAAAAATTAAAAAGCTGTATAATTTTGTAAATCATTCTGCAATATGTTAAGATAATTAGATAAATCCTAATATTTATTAAAAATTAGAGCACTTACTCTAAAATTTAAATATTACTTTTTCTCTAATTTAGAAATTAATGCTATTGTGATTTTTTTTTAATTTTCTTTTGAGTATTTTTATACTTTTTATATTCTTTAAGCTTAATCAGATTCATTGTAAAACTTTTTAAAAACTACAGTATTATATATAAATTAATCAAATAATTTTAAATAAATATTTATTAGGCTTAAAACCTATCTGTTTATTAATAATTTCACGAATAGCATTATATGTATCTAAAAGTAGTTCTGCAAGTATAAGATCAATAGCAACTAATATAACATGTAATAGACAACATTGTTTAAAATTTAGTGCATTAGGCAAAGTTGGATCTACATTAATTAGTGCAAGAAAAACTTGATGACATTGTTTAGAATTGAGTCTGTAGACATTAATTAAATTTTTTTCTATTTATTATTGTTGTTATTTTTTTAAAATAATATATAGTATGGCTAGATGTACTCTTTAATGTAAGGTAGCTCCTTTGAGGTAATCAGATCATGAGCTACTATGTTTTACTATACTAAATAAAAAAGCTTTAGTCTCCAAAAAACTAGTTTAATTAAAAAAAAATAAAAATAAAAAAGTATATATTTAAATTGATAATTTTAAATTTAATGTTTAAAAAAAAAATTCAAGAAAAAGCAAAGTAATATATATATAATACATTTTTAGAAAATGATGTATTTATTTTTAATTACCAAATTATTAATAGTAATAGTAATATATAAATTACCAAATTATTAGTAGTAGTAATATATAAATTATTTTTACTATCTTTTAGTACAAGAAAATAATTTATATTTTAAAATAGTTAAAGATGTTCTTTGTACTTGTATTTGGTGCCTGTGAGTATTAAATAATTAGAATAAATTAGTTAATAGAGCAACTCATACAAGGCATTTAGCAAAACAAAAAAAAACCTAGTCAAATACAGAAGATATGTCTATAATATAACAACATTTAACTATTTCTATTCAACTTTTCTTACTAATTATTAATATATCAACAATGTTAACATCTATGTCTTACCAAGCATTTTAATGCTATTTCAAGTTAATAATAATTATGATTATATTAGTGATAAACTAGCTAATATATATAACCTTAACTTAGATAATTCATATAAATCAAATAATATTATGTTTGAAGAATTATTAAATAATAGTAACAATTTAATAGAATTATTGAAAGTTCAAAAGAAACAAATTGAATCATTAAAAGTTCAAGAGGAACTAATTGACTTATTAGAAGTTCAAGAGAAAAGTGAAAAAGAGAATGAAAAAAATATTAACTTTGGTAAGCTTATAATTTTTTTTTTTGCTTATGCTAAGGCTATAGTTATCAGTAACTATTGCCTTTATTGTATTTTAATTATGATTACATAACTTGTACAAGATGAGTATACAACTAGCCATATATACAACTTTTGGTTGTTTATTTTAAGTAGTCCACCCATACAGCAGATTCTACACTAGCTGCTATATCTGCAATCTACTAGGAGATTATCTATTTAAACACTCTGATCTCTATACTTATATCAATAAATAGCATACAAGTTCTTGTACATCTAAGTGCCATCTAACCTAACTGTAACCTTCTTGTCTATACATCTGTCAAACCATTATATATTTTAGAGTATATCACCTAACTGTAGAGCTTTAGGAGGCTTTCTTGCTAACTAATTGCCCATAATTAGTCTTTTGTTAACAGGGCTTACCCTTGCAAAGTTCATATAGATCCCAGTACCAATTTCATAGCATATTTCTAGTACTTATAGTATACTTTTGTTTCTGATCTCAGACTTTCAATTTAGATAGCCTAGTAGGACTATTACCTGTTTCTAATACTCTAGGGTCTGCTCTCTAAGGTTCTTTTCCTCTAATTCAAGACTTCTAATAGCCTGATTGATAGTACCTCTCATCTAAGGTTCTTGCCTACCTGATTCCTTTCATATTAGTATTCATTTTCTAGGTCTAGCCTTTACAGTAGTACTGTTAAAGATTCATGCTACCTCTCTACTTAGATCTTCTTAAGTAGGCTTTGGTTTCCTAGTTTACAAATTTATATGACTACGAGAACTTATCTTGAGTTTGCACCACTCGATACTAGTTTGCATTTCTCTGTATAACTTCAATATTGCACAGATGCTCTATGATCTGTCAGTTATCTGATGTGACTGTTTTACAAATACTGATCCCAACTGATCAACAGAGTGTCATTGCTGTAATACTGCTTATTTTCTATAATACCAATATAACATAGATGGTTTTTTAAATTTTTATTGTTAGTGGGTTTTGAACTTTAACCTACCACTTAAGAGGTTAACAACTTAACTACTTTACTAAGTTACTATATCCCAAGCTTATAATTAAAATATAAATTTTGCTAATGTTAAAATTTTGTTATAATATTCTGTTTTATTTATACAAATATTTTAGAAAATTTAGGTAAGAATTTAAAACTTTTCAAATTAAAGACAAATATAATATATCAGAGGCTACATTTAATAAAATTCTTAAAGTCTTAAAAGTTCCTAACATTACACTTTACAAACTATAAAATGTTTTAAAAATCTTGTACTATTAAAACTGATACTTATAAACTGCTATATTAATTTATATATAGCATTTACAGGTATTCTTACTAATAAAAATATTTGTTCAAGATATAAAAAACCTTATTATAATTTTGATAAACTGTCCAATATGTCTTGAAAGAAAACCGCATATTAGTTACTTATTGAATCTCTTAAAATGCAATATAAGAATAAGGCTTATGCAGAAACTTTTAATTATTAATACAATTATACATTAATATGTAATTATACTCTTGGCAACCAAATTGGTAATGTATTTGATAGATTTTGATATAAATCATTAGCTTCTTCTGGGTTTTTTTCAGACTGTAGGAATGTTGCTTTAATAGCATCTATTGATGGATACTAAATTTTTTACCAAAAGTAAAATAATTACTGAATTATACTTATTATAAATGCCAACTTGCTATCAAATATATATATTTAGAGAGAACATTTAATAATTTTTACTATTATTTCAGGACTAAAGGCACCAAAAGATTTTAATTCTTTTTTATAACTACTGGTTGATGAGTTAAAACAATTGCAAGATATTATTAATAATTATTATTATAGCTAAAGCTAAAAATTAGTAACTCAATTTAAAAATATAAACTCTACTAAAATCTATATATATATTTTATTATCAAAACTTATTTTAAACTTTAAATTATCTAAAAATAAATATGCTAAAAAAAGGCATTTTAAAAAAATTTGAAAATTTTATATTCAAATATTTAAATTTCTAGCTTCAGCTATGACAATTATTAATATCTATTTTTTATAATATATTACTTATTAATTTGTATTAATAAATATAGATAATGTTTAGTATATTAATAGTGCAATAGAAGAAACTTTTATTTTTTATACTTATATTCTAAGTTTTTCTAATGATCTTTTAGCACTTTCTAAGATTATATGCTTGACTATATATAATTTATATAGGGCATACTATTTTTGCTTTATTTAAAAAATATATTATCAAAGAAATTGACATATATACTGTTATTCTATATCTACTTCTTTTAAGATAGTAGGTAACTAGAGTGACCTTAGACAGTGAACACTTTTTGTAACCTCACTTGTT